AGGGGAGGCGGCAGCTACAACGGCCGCCCTCGGCAGAGAGGCAAGATTATTTTGTGCCAGGGAATCAAGTAGATACGAATTAGAGGACAAGTACAGTTTTAAGGTGCTTTTTCACAGTGGATTTTCTTTCAACCACAACCACCCTTTAAACGCTCACGTGCCTCCCGGTGTGGTACCAGACAGGCACCTCTCCCCAGCACCAGACAGGCACCTCTCCCCAGCACCAGACAGGCACCTCTCCCCAGCACCAGACAGGCACCTCTCCACAGCACCAGACAGGCACCTCTCCACAGCACCAGACAGGCACCTCTCCACAGCACCAGACAGGCACCTCTCCACAGCACCAGACAGGCACCTCTCCACTCCAACTCCCTTCCACAGCTGTCAAGCCGCTAACCTCCAAATGAGCGCTCAGATGCCATTTCTAATCTGCCAGCAATATGTGCTGAGATGCCCCTTGCTGATGGGAGAAGACAGCGGTAAGATGGGCTTCTGTGAAGCTAAAATGAGCTTCTTTCACACTAATGAGGCAGGATTGACAGGCCTCGCGGTGTCAAGCAGAGACTCAAAACCTAAAGATACCGCGGGTCTGCCAATGCCGTACAAGAGACGATGTCTGCTCCATGAAGTCACTGGAGCAGGGTCCAAAAGATTCTCCACGCCCTCCCCCTCCTTCTCTACCTACCACTCATCTTCCCCAGCACACACAGCATGGCTGGGCAGAGGAGAGTGGATGGGAGCTGATCATCTCCAGGGTCCTGGTTTTATCACCACGATGACCAGGGCAACCAAGAAGCTTCACAGCAAAACTTCACACCAGAACTTCACACCAGGGTGACCAAGAAGCTCTCAAGAGCCACACAAGAAACCACTCGAGGCCTCTGCCATGGGTAGGCCTGTCTTCATTTCTGCCTTACAAGCAGAAACACACTGGAATTTCTGTAAATGGAGCCACCGGTCTGCAAGAGCTGAGGAGCTCTCTGTGACAGCCACGAAGCCTCCCTGCGTCCTGCCCGCAGACCAGCTCCAGGCAGCCTGGTCCCTCTAAACCACGCTGAGCTGCTGGGCTCACACCAGCTCCTGTGCTGGCTCTCCTGATCACTGGACACTGCTCTCATGCCCAGAGTTCCACCTCTCCCTTTCAAGGATGGAATGACTTAACTGCAGCACAATTAGCATGTAATTTGTAAGTCATTATAGCACAAAGTGTCTGGTGAGAATATTTTATCGAATAAACCTGCTGAGCATAATTTTCTGTGGAACTATAAATATATTAAACCATCTCCTGCCTTTTCCTACCATCTTTAGAGATCACTAAGGTTACTGCTGCCGCTTGTAATTATACCTCATTTTAGATGGAGTTAAAAGGCATAGGATTCTGCACCATTTCCTACAGACAAAATTAAAGAATTTGAGTGGGGGACAAGATATTTTCTAGGTTTTATTAACTGAAAACCCTGAGAAAAGTGATGACAGGTATCAGGTTTTGGAGACCACTGCCCACATGGACTTTGCTCCTGGGTTTCACACGGCAATTAAGGTAATCAAAGTTATCACTGCTGATCGCTTCTGAATAGATTCCACAGAAGCAAACAAGTGGGTAACACTAAGAAGGGACTCAGCGGGCCTCATCCTGTTTCACTGTCCAGACTGAGGGTGCAGTTTCATTCCAGCCAAGTTCAGAGATCCCTCCCCTTCCTTATACCCTCAACCACTCCTACCTGTTCCCCACCACCGGCTGAAAAGCTGGGCTATAAACTGGATCACTGAAACAAGCCAAGCTAAGAGAAAGAAAAAAGGAAGAGCTGCAAGAGCAGGAGCTCTTGTGCCAGTTGCACCACTGAAGACCACACAGCAGGTACGATGCACTCAGTTGCTCCTTCTATAACCACGTTCCCATTTCTTGTAAATCCAGACTTGCACCAGGACACTGTCCGTCAGCCTCGGTATATACATGTTGAGCTCCATGCAGCTCAACAGTATAGGCTGCTCCTGTAAAATCTCAGCAGGCTTCAGTTTTTGGGTCAGGGCGAAAAGTGAGGATTTGAATATAGGATTTTTGGGATACTACATCATCTACTGCAAGAGGAAGGTCAAAGCCCCCAGCTGACAGAGCACAGGTTCTGAAGGACCAAGCGTTCGTATCATCCACTTCAGTGATTCATGTGCCACAACTAGAAACATCAAATCATTCCATAAATGCTGCCACAGCCAGACAGAGCCATGATTTGATGGACAGAACGATGGCTTTTCCCTGCTTCTGCGTGGGGAAAACACTTGAGCCACTTCAGGTCTCAACAGACTGCGTCCCACCGACCACTTCAGGATGCTACAAGACAAAGCAAACAGGCATCCCGAGGGTGTTCCATGCTAGGAATGAATCTCAGCATCATATTTTGCACACACTGTGCCCAACATATTGCACATGAGCTGTTTCTGCCAAATCCTATTATTAGCTCTAATAGGAGTGAAAGATTAGGATGCCTTTATTCCAGCCATTCCAGCCTACAGAGCCCTGCAGCGGGGCAAACACAGTGACCTTTGGGATACAGGAGGAAAACCTGAGGCTCTTTGGTTTCTCTGCTCTTGTGCACCAATAAACATGAATGGGTTAATATTATTAATCAAAGGGCTTCCACACAAACTTCCTCACACAGAAATTCCCTTCACCCTGCTCTGTGCTGGTGCTTGCTGCAGGTGTTAACACCCACAGACAGCCTCGGGATCCGTTTGGGTGAAGGGCACGTGCAGCAGCTCCACGCGTTCCACTGAGGGCTCTGAGGAGCAGCTGCCCGTATGCCACAAAGACCTCAGCCAGAAAAACCGATTGTGTTTTGAGTTCTAAACCCCACACACCAACACCGAAACGTACGGATAAATAACCTCCTGCTCTGTTCCGAGGAGGGTGACTGGAGGTGGAGGGATAGCAGGGAAGGGCAGAGGCTGCTCCTCCCGCCCGCCGCGCACCCGCGGAGCTGCAGCTGCCGCCTGGAGCCCCAAGGCTGGCAGCAAAGACCCCTCTGTTCATCGCTCCCCCCGTGCCTCTCTGAGCAGCAGCCGTGCCGCTGAGCCCCGATGCCCTCGGAGCGGCTGGCAGTGCCCAGGGAAGCAGCCTTGGCAGCGGGCAGGCAGCTGTTTGTCGGTGCCTGGCGGGGGCTGCAGCCCGTGGCACGCCGAGCTCGCCGGCTCCGGTGATTACTCTCCGTCAGTGCTAATCAATCTCACACCCTCTTCAGTGCTGATACAGATAATCTTGTGGGAAGCCGGCCAAGCTCGCTAACAGCTCTGCAAGCTGCTTCCCGACTCCAACAGCTCGTTCCCTCTCAAAAAGTCTGTTCCAGCTTCAGTTCCAAGAAAGTACTGTGTGGTACCGGGGCTCGTGTCATTCAAACGATTCACTGCTGGTGTGCAGGGAGCACACCAGCCTTTGGCTGCAGCCCCATCTAACTAATCAAAATAGACACGTTCTCACAGCTGATCAGAACTCTAAAGACCAGGGTAGGAGGCCTTGCACATTACCATGTAATTGTCTCTCTGCATTTCACTTACTCTCCATCTGCCAAACCAAGCAAGAATGCAGCCAAGTAAAAGTGAAGGCAAACTGAAGCACAGACTTAGGCCCTACCAGTAAAACCCACTCTCAGAGAAGCCCAGAAGCACTTGCTGTAGGGAAGTTCTCAGCCCGTTTTATCTGAGGTTAACTGGAAGCTGGAGAGCGAGACAAGAAGAATGAGGAGGTTAACGGCGCAGGTATGAGGACACGGCTCAGCAGTGACCTGCCCAGCCAGAGGTTCTGTGCAGAGCTGTAACAGACACGAGCTGGCAAAACTGAAGCAATACATACATGTTTCTCTCCATCGATCTTCTTATCAGCTGCCTGCATCGCATCCAGGTACTTAAAATACAGTTCCATCAGCCTATCGACCTGCAAGGGCAGAAGAGAGAGACCTAAGCAAGAAAAGAAAAAAAAGAACAATGCAAATCATCCTTAATTCTTCATGCGATGTGGTTTTCCTCCCAGCTGCAGTCTCCACAAAGAGCCAGGCAGTGCTGTCGCTGAGAGGAAGGAAGGCACGGCAGGGGCAGGGGGTGAGCTGGGCAGCTGAGCACCCCGAGGCTGCAGGTGCTGGAACACAGGCCCATACCACAACACGCTCTGTCAGCTCCAGCTAAGAGGCAGCACACACACACACGTCCCCAGCTCGCCTGCTCTCCTGTGCTCTCCAGTTTTCCTGGTTTCCTCGTGGACCTTTCTGTCTAGGCTGCATGCAGGCAAGCTCATGCTAAATGTACCAGGCACGCTGGGGCTCTCCTGCCCTCCTCTGAACTGTACCAGGCAGCCTAAAGCTGATCTAGTAACAGGAAAATTTCTGCAACTGGTACAACAGGTTATGAAAAACACCTTTAAAACACACTAATGAGGAATACTAAGGAACCAGCATTTCCCCAGTGGTGGAATTTACAAACCCCTTGGGATTACTGGTTTGCAAAAGCTGCCGTGTCTGTTCCACAGCTGTTTGATCTATCCACCACTATGTAAATATTTTGAAAATAATTTCCCAGAGTAAACACCACTAAAGCGACACATTCTAGGAAAGGATGGGGAGTGTTAAATGTGTACTGTAGCAATTCCTAAACTCACTGGAAAAGAGCTTCACTAGAAATACTGGCACCTTTCACACTGCCCTGGTCCCACAGAGCCAGCACAGTGTAACAGCCCAACACATGTTACATGGTCAGGTTTCAGCAGAGAGATTCAGCCTGGGACTGAGAACTGCTACCTCCACAAGCAAAAGCTCCAAAAAACACATGTAACGTTGGAGGCCAAGCACCAAAGGCATTTCCAGCTCTCCAAGCCTGCAGATAGCAGCTTGAATGAGAGAAGGATGGCCAGTGAGAGCACAAGTCTCCACAGGCAGGCAGAGCAATGGCTTTTCAGTCACTTAGAGAGTGCCCACAGGACTCTGCCCTTATCAAGTATCCCCCAGGCTGGCGGCTGCAGACACACGCTCGGCACTCACCTTCTCGCTGTCGTTCTCTGTGAATTTGTTCAGTAACCGTGTCCTCTGCTGCCCTCTCAGGTTTCGCAGAAGGGAGGCCAGGATGGAACAGACATGTTCTAGAGATACAAAATGAAAATTGCAGGCTGAGATCAGGAACAGGAGCTGATTTTCTCTGTAACATGCCATTAAATTTACTACTAGCACTCCAGCGTGTAGCTGTTGATAAGCGGAACCCGGTTCCTCCCCGAGGCTGGTAAGGGAGCTGAGCAGCAGTGAGCACAACAAGCCACCCTGGCACAGAGCACAGACAGCTCCTGGCCCACCACAGCCCGGCCAGCAAGGTCTCCTCTGGCTCTGCTGCACTGATCCTGCTTCTCCTCAGTGACCCGAAAAAAAGCAGCTCAGGTAGAACACGAATCCTGCCCTGGCTGACTCCCCCGGCCTGCCCAGCACTGTACACACACTCCCCCTTTGGCCCCTCCACCTCACCTAGAGGCACCACACTCTGCCTCTGCCCCTGGGGGGCTGGCTGAAGCCACCACTGTCACTCCAATGGCCCTCAGGTGACCAAATAGGGGACGCTTATTGAAACAGGAGAGCTTGAGAGAGGAGTAACTGTGCCAGCATGCAGCTCCTGCAGAGACTTAACTGGTATTAGCCACAGGAAAAAATCCTCAAACAAGCCACTTCTATTTACAGAAAATCCTGTGGAATGAATACAAATGTGCCACAACAAACCAGAAATAGCCAAATAAATGTGTTCCACTGTCTTCTCAGCTGCACTTGGGGGTCATGTTTTCCAGCACAAACCTTGGAGCCAAGTAAAAAGTCAACACTGCAAGCACCCAAGAGACATTTGTGTTCATGTCCAACCTCAGCCTCACTCTGCAAGGTGATTGAACCAAGTGCCTCGAGCCCACAGCAATGTTGGCCTCCTCTGGAGGTGCAGGACCAAGCTCTGAGGATGACTTCTGCTGGAACACAGGTGTCCCTTGGTGGGGGACCACCAAAGGAGGTACCAAAGGGCCACGTGGTGTTGCTTTCAGAAGCTCCTCCTGAGCATGCCCCTGGATGCCACCCCTCACCAACACACTGCACAAAGCACCAGGCTCAAGTGGTGTTCAAAACCACCACACTTTGGAACAGGGCCTGGAGCTCCCTGCTCCTTGGGAGACAGAAAGCAGCACAATCTTCTCCAAAAGCACACTTTTCCCACTTAGCGTGTCTTATGCTTCCTTAACCACTAATATCTGGCTGTGCTAGACTTCAGTGAAGTATAAAAGCAAGTGCTTCTCTTTATATCTTCTCTGATACATATTAAAAAAAATATCATACTGAGTTTGAAACATTTCAAGTCAAGCTCTCAAGTTACAACTCTCACGCTCCGGCTCTTTCCCATCTTGCCCAAGAAGAGGTTCCAGGAAGGAGCCAGCCCAGGCTGGGAGCTGAGGAAGGGAAGGAGCCTGGGCAATGTGAGCACCCTCCTTCCCCCACACCAGCACTGTGCCCTCGGTGTCACAGCACAGGCACAGGTGCAGACCAGGTGCAAAACGCATGCCAGCAGCAGGGATGATGTTGGCAGTATCACAGAGGATACGGTTTTAATATGGGGAAATAAAACCAAGCACAGAGGCACGGAGCAAATGAGGGAGGCACAAGTTTCTCTCCCTTGCCAAATTATTTGCTATCATTTCCCGCCTACAGGTCTGCGTTAAGCACAGACCTTAGGCTTCAGCAGCTCAATAGATTCAAAACTAACTTCTCCAAGATGTCCTCACTGTAATCCTGCTGATGAAGACTGATGAAACACAACGACCATAAACATCTCCTCACCCGCGGTGGTGGGGAGAGAAGGGGCGTCAAGGTTGGTTATTTTCCGAGGGAAAACGCAGCGTGGGGAGGGAGGGGACCCCCACCTTACTGCCACCAAGCCCTCTCGAGGAGCCCCCAGCACCCAAGGACAGGGACGGGGAGGTGCTGCAGGGAGCTCCAGTGCCCAGAGCCCTGCGGGGGCTCTGCCCTCCCGCGGCACGGGTCGCTGCTCGCTGCGCAGGGCCACGGGCGCCCGCGCTCACCCTCCCTTCCGTTAGCTCCTTATAGATGTGGCTGCCTTAGAAACAGATTTCTGCCTGAGGTGGTGTCAATTTTTCATGTACCAAGGAGATTGGGCGAGCTGCTGGCAGGAGGAGCAGGGAGATAACAGGTTTATCGGGTGGCCGGCGCCGCGCGGCTGCTCTGTCATCTCGACAGGCTAACGGGGGTGAGGGATGGCTCAGGGTGGGTCAGCAGCTCCTGCTGCACAGCAACACTCCCTCTGCCAAGATGACACCAAATTAAGTGTCTGCATTAAAAAAATATGGTAAAAGCCTCCAAAGGCCATTCAAGATCCTATTAAGGTGGGGAAAAAAAAAGGCAACAAAACCAAGCCTTTTTTTCAACCCTGTATCCCAGCAGCTGCTCTGCTGTTTCAGAAGGCAGCCAGCATTCCCCATTTCACACTACTTTTCCCCAAACCTTCTATTTTTGGAAGCGTTTAGAAGTGTTGACACAGTATTTTAGTAGCAATATTCTCACCAATGATATATCTTCATTGCTTTTTTTCAATAATCCTTTACTAGGAAATGTATTTTAGCCATCATTTTTGCCTTGGTGCTCATGTGCAGAGATTTATCCATTTTATCAATAAAATCTTCAAAACTACTGAGAAGTCTAAAGGAGCTGACACAGTTTTTTTTAAGAATGAGGTTATTCTTTCAACCTATCACTCCGGAAAAAATCCAGGAAATATTTAGTTGCCTGGTCAAAAGGTTAAAAAAAAAGAAATTATACAGAAATATTTCTGAACTATCTAAACCTTCTTTTTCATCAGCTTCCTGAAAAAAATACACTAGTGTGTTTCATACTCCCCCCTAAACCCCACAATCATGCCATAATGCAACTCCTGGCTCAGTAAACACCAGCATCCTCGTGCAAGGACAGCAGCCAGACCCAGAGCAGAGCCAGGGCAAGGGCAGTGCTGTGGGATAAGAGTCTGGATCCAGCTCTCCAGGGATTAAAATGTTCACATGAGCAAACAGAAGCCAGAGGCGTTGCCCTGGAGCGAAGGTTCCTGGGGACGTGGGGGTCTCACCACCCTCCCAAGGGCTGCACCCATATAGCTCTCATGTGCACAATCTTTAAAGTCCATCATCACAACATTTGCCCTGGGTTGGATCTTCTTTGACAAATTATTAGTAGCTAGTGCTGTTCTGAGTACCTGGAAAGCAAAACCTGCACTGCTCAGCTCTGACTCCAGCCACGTGCTGCACCTCGCCCTCGAGCAGCCTCCGAGTGCCTTGGGAACCTCCCAACAATCCTGCCCAGGCTCAGCACCAGCCACAGCACCACAGAGAAAGCACCATTCCAGGGAAGGCAACAGACCAGGCCAGAGGCAGAAGTTGCTCCTTGCCCCAGTTTCTAGGAACCACTAAATATATGTCTCCTTTCCAAAGCAACCACAAAAGTGAGCCGTGCTCAGCACCACCCCCGAGCCCTCTGAAGGAACAGCAGTTACCAGCTGGCAGCTCCCATGTGTCAAGAACACCTTTTTTCATATAAACATCCCCAAAACCTCACAAATTCATGGATATGGGAAGACAAAGGCCTCTTTCTTATTGGCAGATAACCCTGTTTTCTGCCCCACCAGCCGGTTCCCCTGAACATTCTGCTGCTCCCCATGGGGTGGGGGCCACAGAGCTCTGTGCCAGCCACGTCCCTGGGTCCAGGCAGGTGCCATCCCATGGGCTCACCCGGCCTCAGCAGGGTCCTGCTCAGACCAGGACCACCTCGGGCTCTGGGAGCCTTTCCCTCTCCAGACAGTCAGGACGATCTCAGCATGCAAGCAGTGTTTAAAACACCCTAATTAGATCGATCTTGACTTGAGCTGCGGCGTGTTGGAATACAGATTAATCTATGCCACGGCTGGCACTGGCAGCTGCAGCAGCAGGAGGTCCTGTCAAATCACGCCGTAACATTACACTCCTCTGCCTTCATTATTCCCCCCTCTCCCCCTTTTTTTTTACATTTCATTATAATGGACATCTGCCTAGCAGGGGAGGAAGCTGAAGCACAGTCCCCTGCAATAGTGATGAGGAGGAAGGAAGAGGAAGGCTTCTGGGCACAGGGGGACGAGCAGTGTTCTGGTGAGCACAGCAGAACACGCTCAAGAGCTTTCTATCTTGTGAAGAACTCGTAAGATAGAGTGTGGTTCTAACTGGAGCTGGAAAGCACTAGGAAAAAAAAACCAACCAAAACCAAAAAAAACCCCCACACTTCTTTCAGAAACTTCTACCCCTCCTATGCACAAAACTCTGCGTCCTCACGGCTGCTCCCAGGGAC